TGTTATTTGAAGTGCATTCTACACTAAAGATTGATAAGGTACTCGGCAAGTATCACCTGGCACAGTTTTGTTATGCAGATCCCTTTGCCTGTTACTACCCTGTGTAGCCCCTAACTATGAAAAGGAGTTCCACTTATACTGAATTAGTGTGCTAATGGCCTTCAATGTACATCTCTTGACTTTATCGTTCTGATTTACCCACTGCTCTTTGCCAGACGCAAATGCGTGAAAGCACCTTCTCCGTGCTCGCCTCGATTCTGCACATTGGCAATCTGTACTTTGAGAAAGCCGACGTTCGCGGTGTCGAGGGCTGCATCATTGACTCGGCGGATGAGCTAATGGCCGTTGGTGCACTGCTGGGCGTAGCACCGGACGGTCTGCAGACGTGTATAACCAACAAAGTGACAGTAAGTGGTGCGGAATCGGCAGACTCATTCTTGATGTGATCTTGACAGATGTGTGTATTTTCCTCAGTCCTAATATTCCGGTCAATCAAGGCAAGTTATGCCAGCGGTTTTGAAACTTATCCCTTCACCCCTACCGTTAGGGGCTGCATCTGGCGTTGGATTTGCCGGGTGTTTGCGGCCGCCGGGAATTCCCTGGGGAACAGACACGATAATTTACAAAAAAATTCAATTCCACTACATGTTCTGAAACTTGTTTATGGTCCTCTGCATAGGAAATGTAATGGTATGATACTGTCAGTCTGCATAGGAAGTGTAATGGTATGATGTAATGGTATGATGTAATGGTATGATACTGTCGGTGGAATTTGTATTACAGTCAGACTTCGCATAACCGCACACATCCGTTTCCACAAAAATATCCGGATAGGCGAGGGAACCGGATAATCAAACACACATACTGTATGCATGCATGACATATGCTGTAAATCGATAACCAACAATTTTCTTCTGGATATCGAGGGATCTGGATGAAAGAGGACCTTATAAGTGAGGTCTAACTGTACTATCACTGGACGGTGTATGCTTTGATGTACATTCACATGGTTCTGCTGCTGCAGGTGACCAGAGGCGAGCTGTTCAAGACACCGTTGAAAATCGTGCAAGCTCTGGACGCACGGTAGGATTTTTCCACTTGGAGATTGTGGCATGGCTTACCTTGATACTATACTGCAGTGCTTTCGGAGTGAGCTCTGTGTTGGGCAGAACTTATGCTTTTCAAAACCATTGCTCCAAGCCTGAGCGGATTTACTAGTATTACAGGAGCCACTGTACAGTTGTCAAAGACATTCAGATGATATTTTGTCCACGGAAGTACTTTGTCTATCAAGATTCTCCCCTGTTTGGGTACAGCAGTTTCGCATAGCATCGTCTACTGCCTCACCACGGTATGGTGCAGAGCTAGATACAAGAACATGCAATCACTTTTCTTGATGCACTCGGTTATTGAACCTCATTCCGTTCCGGCATTTTTCTGTTCTGTTCTGGCTGCAGGGATGCGCTTGCCAAAGCACTCTACTCGCGACTGTTCAGTTACATCGTCGCCCAGATCAATGAAATTGTCTGCCAACAGGTCAAGACCACATCGGTTGCCATACTTGACATCTTTGGCTTTGAGGTAAATGCTCTATATAGCCATAGACAGCCACAGATGCCCATTAATAGCCATGGATAGGCATTGATAGCCATGGATAGCCACAGACAGCCAGATTCGGGATTTTCAACCCTTTCACAGAAGTCTCTGAACACATTTTAAATACATCTAAGCTGATGAGCGCTATGAAGCCAGCTTGTTTTGTAATTGTAGTAGTAGTAGTAGCATTATGCGTCCACTTCACCACCACCACCGTTGCGCTCTGCGAGGGCTGAGTGCTGCTGCGTATCTTCTTGTTAAGTAGTAGCATTCTTTTGCTTTATGCCTTTCTTTTCAAGTTGATGGTTGCTGTTGCTAATTTGGATTGGAATAAAAAAGATATTGCCAGTAGCAGTCTATATTACTGGTGACCGCACTCTGTTGTGGATCCAATACCAGAATTTCACTTGATCTTCTTAGCACTGTGCTCAAGCCCCTGAACTGGTCTGAGGCGGCATGAATTGCACGGCTTTACTCACAGAACGGAAATGACATGAAGAATGGTAAGCAGAGCAGACACTGCAGAGCTTAATGATGGGAGTTCTGCTCTTTGCTTGTCCAGGACTTTCACATCAACTCCTTTGAACAGCTGTGCATCAACTTTGCCAACGAGAATCTGCAGTTCTACTTCAACCAGCACATCTTCAAACTGGAGCAGGTTAGCCGTATTGTCACAGGGAATTTACTCTGAGTTAGATGTCATTGCTGAACACACAGCTTCTGGTCAGGATGCATTGTTATGGCTGTAGTAAGTGTGAAGAAGAGGTTCGTGCGACTTCAGTAGGGAGCAATACACAATTCCCCAATGTAGATTGTTGTCCAGTCAATTAGCTGTAGTTGTGTTCTTGTTCTAGGCTGTACCAACCGTACATGTCCTAGCAGTATGTGTGTGTGTGTGTGTGTGTGTGTGTGTGTGTGTGTGTGTGTGTGTGTGTGTGTGTGTGTGTGTGTGTGTGTGTTGTGAGGCACAAGCACCTGCATGCTGTATTTGCCAGACTATCTTCGTATGGCCTGCCTATAGGCTTTCAGAGAATACTGTGTGCTGAGCTTGCTTCAAGGCCCACCAGACACAGTAAAACCATAATCTATTCTGAATGCATGCACACCATAATATGTTGCCTTGCAGGAAGAGTATGAGAAGGAGCAGATTTGCTGGTCAAAGATAACATTCAAAGATAATCAGCCGTGCCTGGATTTGATCTGCAAACGGCCAGTTGGCTTGTTCAGCATACTGGATGATGAGTCAAACTTTCCCAAGGTTAGTGAAGTGTGTACCATGCAGTGCCTCCATGTGTTAGTGCAAACAACACTTCTTAAGTGGTGATGGCCTGAATACAACGGGCATGTTACGACTGGTTCATATCCTCCAGCCATTGTGTGTGTGGGGGGGGGGGGCGTGCGCGTGTGTGTGTGTGTGTGTGTGTGTGTGTGTGTGTGTGTGTGTGTGTGTGCGGGTGTGTGCACGCGCGCGTGTGTGTGTGTGTGTGTGCGCGAGCGCATGTGTGTGTGTATGTGTGTGTGTGTGTGTTAGCATGTATGTGTGTATTTGTGTGTGCGTGAGTCCATGTACTATCTGGCCATCACGTTATGACATACAGTGAGCATGTAGCATAGTAGTACTGAATGAAAGCCGATCCCGTTGTTCCATAACCCACCGGGTACTGTTCAACCCTAGACCTGCAAACGCTGGGATACGAACTGGTCCAGGGCGCCAACTTGACTCTCACAATCGGCTTTCACTAAGCATTGCTGTACTCTCCTTCCAAAGTCGAACAATACCATGTCAGTGTTCTTACGGACCGTATGCACTGTTGACTTCACCTACTATAAGTCAACAAATATTCGGCGCATATTTATTTTCGGCTATTTTCGGCCTAGTCACATTATGGTCGAAATTTTGTTTTTCAAGGTTCAGTGTGATAGTGTTTACAGGCAGCAGCAGTACAGGTCGAAAAATGTTTGCAGCCGAAATGTGTTTTAGCCCTGGGAGGCTGAAATTTGGATGGGCCGAAAATTTGTCGACTATTGTGTACATTGAAATCCGGTGGAATGACTGGGGATGGCGCCCTTACTGCCTTAGTGCGTGCACTCGATGTTGTTCACAAACACATGCACTGTAAAAATGGACCAGCAATGCTCTAGGCTGCAAGGCCAGCGCTCCGTGACCGTTTTTAAACTTCTCAACGGAATTCAGCGTCTACAACTGTATTACTTTTTCTATTGCTCTATGTACCCAGGCAAGTGATGAGTCATTTCTTTTGCTATTGTGCTATGTACTCAGGCAAGTGATGAGTCATTTCTTTTTCTATTGCTCTATGTACCCAGGCAAGTGATGAGTCATTTCTGGAGAAAATCCACCAGCAACATGGCAAGAATTCTTACTACATACGACCGAAAGTGAAGAACGGCAAGTTTGGCGTCCGGCACTACGCCGGAGATGTTATGTACACGGTAAGATCAAGCTGTATGGTGTGTGATGACGATGCCTGAACAGTTTATGCAGAAGGCGCTGTGCATGTGAATGTTCTAGGCAAGTCTACTTATGACATTATATGTAGTGATCATAGTGCGGGCAGTGATCATCTCCCCTGTTTTTTTTTAAATACTCCTATCCGGAACGTAGAAGCTGCAACGAACTCCGCCATTTGAAATTGTGAAAATCTCCACTCCACATTGCACTCTTGGCCCACATTCACAACACCATACTCCATAGTGAATAAATTCGTTCTTGGGTGGATGTTGCATATCCTCCAGACAGCTGTTTTGCTCATTGAGAGCTCCTCACTTCTATCCATCCGAAATCAGATATAAATTGTTTGAAAGCCAGTGCTCAGAGCTTTTCATGCCACCGCTGAGCAGTCTGTATGTGTTTACCCATCTACGGTTCTTGCTGCTGCTGCTGCTGCTGGTGTTGTTGTTTAGGCCAGTATGTTCCTCGACAAGAACCGAGATACACTGAGACCGGATCTGATTGAGCTGCTCCACAACAGCACAGCACCGGTACGTAGCCTCAAGGGTGCCCAGTGCATTCATGTAGCTCATGTCAGGTCAATGTGTGTGTGTGTACTCCACCATTTTAAAAGGGTATTTTGACACGTTGCGGCAGAGCTCTCCGGCCGCCACTGATCTGGGAATCCTAGCTATCGTCATAGGAAGTGTCCCTGCTCTGGTGGTCGCTGGATACATGTATGCAAGATGAGTTAGTGAAAAGTGTAATGGTGGTGGTGGTGTTGGTGGTGGTGGTGGTCGTGTTGAAGTTTCTGAACAATAAAGTGTATTAATTTCATTACCGTTCTTTTTACAATGTCCTGAAATCATTGCTAGTTTGCAGCACCATCTTACACTTTGAAGTCTGGCAGCCAAATTGCATATTATTGAGTTTTGGACCTTGCGCCCGTATCTATGTCAATACAGCTTGTTTTTACAAGTATATATGATTTTTGGAGGAGCCTGGGACGGAAATGTACTAGTAATATTGGCCATGTATCTTTTCCTTTTCCTCTCCGGCAGATGGTGTGCAAGCTGTTTGATCATGACTACGCAATCTTGCAAGAGATGCAAACCATGCTCCCCGGTAGCAACAGCCGCAAGAAGCGAGCACCGACCGTTGCAGCAAAGTTCAACTCGTCGCTCACGGAACTGATTGCGGCCATGTCACAGTAAGTTACCGTGCTTTCTGGAGTACAAGCCGAACTTTGAATACTCGAAATCCACCCCAGGAAAGAGGTGTGTACGGCTTATACTCCGATGATCAAATTATTGGTGATAATAGGGTAGATGTCTGTATTTTCTGGCAAAAATGGGGGTGCTGCTAATACTAGTACTCCAGTGCGGCTTATACTATGGAAAATACGGTACTCGCCAGCTAAGTCCATCACTGTGTTCAACGTCAAGGTACAATTGTCACCTGTGTTTTGGGGCCCTGTACCAAGCAGAGTCCTGTATTGGCCGAAAAGATCTTCATGCACCAAAGTGCTCTGGATTAAACGTTCATTTCTGGATCAAGCGGAATCCTGTCATATCAGGCCTTTTTTTCGCTGTCCCAAGGTTATGCAGTTAGGGCAGGTGTTACTGTACTCGTACGAAAATGCTCATTCCTGTATTCACTCCTGTATTCACTGCTGTATTCACTGCTGTATTCACTCCTGTATTCACTCCTGTATTCACTCCTGTATTCACTCCTGTATTCACTGCTGTATTCACTCCTGTATTCACTGCTGAACCGCCTCGACTCGACCTTTCTCTCTGTACTCTGGGATCCGATGCAGAACACTCACACACCCGACTGGTTCACATTTTCTCTGGTGAATAACCGGTAGTTTTGGATGCACACTGAATCTGTGTGATGCATTGCTGTCTGTGTGTGTATGTGTTTTTACCTGTCACACAGGTGTCATCCCTATTTTGTACGGTGCATAAAGCCAAATTCTGAACAGGTAAGGCTAGTGTTGCTGATGACCCTAGAAATGCTGTCTACGTCGAGTTTGTATACTGTGATGGCAGAGGTGCAGTTGTTGGTCGATCAGCATGTTCTGACATCAGGAGAGGCTGGTCAAAGCCAAAGCACTGTGTTTAATACACACAAAAGTACTGTGTTCTATTGGTTGTGCAATCCTGCATTGAGCAGACTAGCGGAACCGGAAAACATGTTCACAATATAAGACGGAGTCTGATGTGTTCAGATTGTCAAAATGGGGGATGGGGGAGGGGGAGGGGGCTTTGTAGGGTAGAAGATATTCCATTCCATGTCCCTTACTTCCAAAATTTTGTGTACAGCGTATACTTGCACTGTGTGCGTGTGTGCGCACGTGTGTGTGTGTGTGTGTGTGTGTGCACATGTGTGTGTGTGTGTGTATGTGTGTGCGCGCGCGTGTGTGTGTGGGCGTATGACTGTGTACAACCCAATGTCTTGCAAGGATGGCAGGATGTGCTATGACCTCCGTATCAAACAAGAGTCTGTGTGTACCTGTATTGTTGTATTGCTGTTGCTCCAGAAACCCAATGCATTCGTGAAAGCAATGGTGATGGAGCAGCTGCGGTATTCTGGAATGCTGGAGACTATTCGTATCCGACGTGCCGGCTATCCGACCCGTGTCACGTTTGAAATCTTTGCTCGAAGGCAAGCATCTATTTCCCATATACTGTCATTTTTTTTGTACAGAAACCACACACCATTTGACGGCACAAAGCAGCAAGGCAGCGATGAGACATATGGTATGGCAGGAGTGGGGAGAGGCAGGGGCAGCTTGACCGACCATATGGTCTCGGCTTCATTGCAACCCAAGCGCTCCACAAAAACAAAAGATTACAGAGAATACGCAGGGGGGGGGGGGGGGGGGGGTAGATGACATGCACATGTACAGGGTTTCTCACTGCACATTGGATATGGATATTGTTCATGAGGGTATTTTGTGATCTATCAGCCATGGTTGATGTCGCCACACTTGACTTGATCACAACACGTGTATGCAGCCACAATGCCAATGTGCTGCCAGTAACTCAGCTTGGCAATAATGTTTCAAAAGTACAAAGCACTAGAGAGACATTTGCAGGATTAGGAGAAACTTAATCCACTGACATAATTCAGGAAACTGAACAGTAAGAAAAGCAAAAAAGAAAGAAAGGAAAAGGTTAGAGCATTGCTCTTGACAAGCAAGGTCGTCAGGCGAAATTACTGGTCAGTCGGCGTCACGCATTTTTCACAAAAAAATGCGTTTCACCTGCTGGGAGAGTATGCGTGTACTCGAGTCTCATCCTGAGCACGTTTTTTTCTTTCTTTTTTCAGCTCCAGTATAGCTGTATTTTTCATTGCAAAGCCGTCCTCGATTGTTGTGTTCGTTGTTCAAACGAAGTGGACATTCAATCATGAAGGCAGAGGACATAGGAGCCTGATTGGAGTTTCTCGTGGCATAGGACAGCCACACAGAGACACTTTGGGATTATCTGAATATAAAATACCGTACGCACGATGCTGAGATCAATTTGTGCGATATCAAATTGTTTGTGATCTACCACATCGAGCAGAACGGGATCCAAACACAAGCTTACCGACAGTTAGGCTGCCGACCTGACTGGACAAATGATCCCTGGCTTCACCAGACGCCAGAAGTCGGACACCATGTCCTTTGCCGCGACGTCCATCTCCAAAAAGAACTCCATCTTCGTCGTGAAAAGGCTTGAAATACTCAATATTCAACGGAGATTCGCGGTCTCACCCTTTCTCAGATCGAATCATTTTTTGTTGTAGCAGTTGCAGGGCAGATCCCCGCCACTACTTCAACAGAAGATGGCTCCAAAGCATGCCTGGAACAAGCCATATCGAGGTTGCAAGCCACCCCTCTCAGCACTATTTTTGAAGAAATTCGAAATTTCAATGGTGGAAGATATACTATGAAGAGAATTTCAAAAAGTATGTTTCGCGGAGCGATCGCTCAACCTACGTCATTCAAACTTTGCAGGATGGTTCAGACGTACATGCTAGGCATGGAACCACAGAAGATGATATCATAGCTGACACACAGAGTCACACACACAGCAGATTCGTGTGCACAGATACTAAATTAGTGGACGTCTTCATCTTCTTCCCGCTGATCTCAAATGTACTATGACGTGCTATTTCGCCTGACGACCAGATTCGAATCCTGGGTGATGTTTTGTTGGCACTCTTTTGCTTTCCCTGGCAGTTCACCACCCTGACTGATTACACAAGAGAGACAATAATGCACCAGGAAAAGATTCTAATCAGTGGATTGTACTCCTTTGTGTGAATGGTTAAAACCAGGTATCTAATCCTGGCTGGCTCTGATCGTCAGCTGATGAAGAAGGATCCAAAGTCAGCATGTATCAAGATACTTCGACATGCCGGCTCAGCGTCCAGTGAAATGTTCCAAATTGGTCTAAGCAAGGTATTTCCTGGTTCCATTTCCTATTTCAACCTGCTTTCCTTAGTTCTTGTGTGTGAATGCGGGTGCTGCACATTTTACTTCAGTGCATATCTATTACAAATCCGTTGATCCCTGAGCTGCAGAGAATGCTCAATGTCATAGACAAAGCTAAGAACACAGCATACTGATCAGAGGATGTGCAGTGTCAGTTGTATGGTGATTGCCTTGCCGCATGAAATCTGGAGTAACAGCGAACCTGAGCACCCCCTGCTGAGTCTGCTATCCATTTATGAATTTCCATTGCTGCTTGTAAGACAACTAGTATGACTAGTGGTGATGAGATAGTTCCTACGGATGCGGAAAACTCTGCCTTCAGCCCAGTCTCACGTGAACCGTAAAAATTTTTACAGCATTTCTGTCACTCAAGGTGAACCTTTGAACCTTTGAGTTGAACCTTCGTGTGGAAGTTGTAGCCTGCAGACACAGTGACCGCGTGACTGGTGTACGCATGAGCACATGACAGCTTACTCACCCGTGTTCGATTGGGAATAAGGGCTGAACGCTGCACCGCAGCCTTTTCGGACCAAAACCAGTCGACTCAGCGCTCAAAAGACTACAACATATGGGCCAATCGTGGTCATATGGGCTTTTATAAGAACGAAATGGCGCTTTTAGTGACATTTTGCATACAAATCCCCATCTAGTAGGGTGCAGTCACTCAGTTTCGGTGGAAGTGCGTGAGTTCGATTGGGAATAAAGGAGGAAGGGAGCGTAGCAGCTTCCTTGGACCAAGACCATTCGACTCAGCACCCCGAAGACTACAACGGGTGAAAATTTTGATTTTAGGGTGTCCTTCCCAATGACGCTGGTAATTTCCTCTTTAGCCTTGCACGCACACACCATATCCCAACTTACGTTTTAAAAGTGTTAGCTGTAAGGGTTGTAAGAATAGGATCAAAAAAAGTGTATGGTGTGGCTACCAGGTGTTCATGCGTGAGGCTCTGGAGCAGGTTCTTGAAGAAGCCCGTGCCCGGATGCTGCACAAGTACGTGGTTTTACTGCAGAAGAACACCAAGGCGTACGTGTACAGGCAGCGGTACAGCAAGCTGCGCCAAGCCGCGGTCTGTCTACAAGGACATTTGCGAACGAGAAACCTTCGGTAAGGAAAGTACAGCATGTGGTTACTTTTACCGTGTTCTATTGCGGCTGTTGTCTGTGGAGGAAAGAGTACACAGAGAATTTGAAATCTGTCCGGTATCCAGAACATCTTGTCACTGATGTATTTCCATGTGCTGAAATCTTTTTTTGTTCATTTGCCAACCAAAAGTTGATTTTAGCCAAGTACTATATTTGCATTTGTGTAAGGACTCTGATGTGATAATGCAGCAGTAGCAAGAAACAATAGTGAATACTGTGTGTGATTTCGGCTTTGCTTCCAGGAAACTATTCAACAAGAAGCGGAGGGGCGCCGTCAAGATCCAAGCCGCCTGGCGCATGCAGCACCAGCGGCGAATCTACATCAAGCTGCGGGACGAAGAGAGAGAACGGAAGCGGCGAGAAGAGGAGGAGAGAAGGCAACTGGAGGAAGAGAGGAAGCAACAGGAGGAAGAAAACCGGAGACAAGAGGAGGAGAAGAGGCGGCAAGAAGAAGAAGCACGAAGGCAGGCTGAGAAGGCCAGAAAGGAGGCTGAACAACAGAGGAAGGAACATGAGGCAAAGGTAAATGAGTGTCTACCCGAACACTACAATGCATGGATATCCTGGCTAGCTTCTTTGACTGACTACTCTCTCTCTCTATGTTCGTCATGCAACTGCTTTTGACGTTTGTTTGCACCGAACCGAGCTTTTGTTACCGGATAATCCACAATTTGGACGCCCATGCTGGAGGCTCAAAAATGGTTGTTCTGTGCTTTGTGTGAACCATTCATCCCCTTTAGGCGAAGAGAGAAGCTGTTGCAGTAGCCGAGAAGAAGGCATTCGAGGAGCAGGAACGGAAGAAGCTGGAGGAGGCCGAGCGCCTAGAGAAAGAAGCCAAGCGATTCCAGGCTGAAGCGCAGACTATGCAGCGTGAGGCAAAGCGCATAGCAGCGCTGGCCAAGCCCAAGATGGTTGATGTAACCACTTTGGAAATGCCTACTGACCTGGTCAAGTTGATGGACCGGGTATCCGGAGGTAAGCGCATTGTTACAATAAGTAGTATTCTACCCATCATAACGGAGGCTGCGTTACACCACCTTTCCCAGGTTTTTTACTAATGGATTTCTTCAATGGAGGTGCTCTGGAAGTGCAGGGTAGATTGTGCTTCAGGCTAGGATTTCACCAAGGACACATGCCAGTAGATATGCACAGTTGACCGCAGTAAATGACAATAGGAGCAGCCTAGGCTGGGACGCTGATCCCCCGTTTTCAGCACCAGACAGCTTTATATTCCGACACCGTCCGTGCTACAGAACTTCTGCTGGATTAGGGAGGGTGTTGGATTAACAAATCTGATTTGTTGCAGCAATGGGGGCAAGGAGGACATTTCGGTTACTGGAAATTACGCTGGTTTATAGACAATGCTGGTTAAAAGTGCTGCAGCACCGAGGGACAACTGTGTAATTCACACCAGGGTCTGATAGTGGATGATAACTTGGTGCATATGCCGTTCTCTATGCATTCTTTCTCTCTGTAGGTTGGAAGCCCTACACGGCTGACAAGGGTGTTGGCGATTTGCACAGGTTTGAGGAAGTCTTGGTGCAGCCAGCAAACATTGGGCCAGAGCCTGAGCAGGTGGAGACGTACGCATTCAGCAAGTATGCCAGTGCATTTTTCAGGGTAAGATCGCCACTGTTCTTTCATGCAATAATCAGTGTCCCCTAGACTTTTGAAAGTCCGGTTTTGGCCGATTTAAGACGCAGAACCCCACTTTAAACTCAAAAATCTAGGTTTTTTACCTGATTCTTTATAAGCCAATAAGTAGAATCAGCGAAGCGGACATTGGACATGGTCAAGAACAAAAAAAATAAAAGATGGATAATATAGTTTCCGGACACGTTTTCTAGAGACATTTATCAAGGAAAATACGTCTCTATAATGAAATCTAGCAATAAACAACAGTTATATACGTGGAAGAGTACGAAATGCACTATGGGGAAGAAAATAGGAGAAAAGAAGGTGAAGTGCGAAAGACAAGAGAAGTGTGAACCAATAACAGGGGTGGGCAGGTGAGAAATAATAACAATGTGAGACTCAGAGAGGGTGAAGTGTAAGGAGTACGCGCATGGGTATGTGGGTGGGTGTATGTGTGTGTGAATGCTAAGAGAATAGTCTAAGTTTAGTGACATTTTCTTTCTGGATGCATAGGATGGGGTTATGTGTGCGAATGAAAACAGCTTCCAATACTTAAAATTCACTAAACCTACGAGCACGGCACAAAACTGTGAAACAAGAGTCATCATAAACTGAACGGCACTGACTGTTGATGAATGTCTCTAGAAAACGTGTTCGGAAACTATATTTTCCATCTTTTATTTTTGTTCATGGCTACGTCCAATGTCCGCTTCGCTGGTTCTGCTTATTGCCTTATTAAAGTTATTGTCTCCGTCCCACTTATTTGATTCTGTATACTTTCCATTGTACACCTGTCCTAACTTTGTAAAACCTGGCCGAATTTCTAACTCACTATCCTATAGCCTTCCGGTCTCAAGTGAGGCAGGGAGGAATTGCACAGATTGATCATACAACGCAGTATGCACAGTTAATCTCGCTCCATCTACCACTGTGAACTGTTTCTTTTCTGCTGTTCACAGGAAGGGCAGGCATATGAGATGCGTGGTGTGCCCCTCGAACACTCCCTCCTGCCATTGACGCAGGCCCTGGAAGCAGAGGCTCTACTTCTCTTCCAGCTGATCATGAGGTTCATGGGAGACCAAGCACTGACTGGAAGCTTGCAGTCGATCGTTGCCAAGTACATTGTGCAAAAGGCAAGATCTTCTTTGCTCAGCAGTTATTATGCAGAACGGATTTATTTACTTTTCATGTCAATTAGAAAGCCTATCTGAATGCCGAAGTGAATTGCTGACGCAGAAGTGGCGGTTACTTCTTTTAATTTCCTGATTGGAGTACATGCAATTCAAGCAGCAGATTAATAGTGTCCAATTTGAAATTGTATCTCCATCATGGCGTTTTGCCTGTGTGACGCCAGCTTTCCTCCTGCGGTTGTGTATTTTCAGGCTTGCAATCACTTTGAGCTGAGGGATGAGCTGTTTTCCCAAGTGGCCTGTCAGTTACACGGTTCCAGCGGTACAGTGCACGAGAACGGCTGGCTGCTGATGGCTCTGGCACTGTCATGTGTTCAACCCAGCAACAAGCTGTACAAGTACCTCTACAAGTAAGCATAGCAAATTCAATTCTCTGGGCCAGGTGTTTGATAATTGGGTAAGGTTCTCTGAATCACAACCACCCAGGGCAAATGTTTCTTTGTGACTATAGTTTGGTTTTGATTTGTGCTCCCATGGTGGCTGTAAATGTAATGCTATTCCTGTAAAATGTACTTGATTAGATATTTTCTTCTTCTACCTGTGTTGAGGACAATCAGATTTCTGCTAGTGAGGGCAGTCTATATCTCTCTTGTCCTAATTCCTAAAAAAATGTATGTTCTGTTCTGTTCCATGCACAGCTTGGTCGTTTCTCAAGCACCAGATGGACATAAAGACTACTGTCTGCAGTGCATGAGGAGGAGTTCTGCATTGCAAGGTGCCGGACGCAGTTACCCGCCATCACTGCTTGAGATGAGCGCGTTGGAAGCAAGGAAAACCATGGCATTGCAGTTTGATTTCGTTGATGGTGAGGCATTTGGCACATACAGGATATGTTGTTGCTAAGCATCTAAGGGTTGCATAGGGAAGGTTATGGAGAGGTGTATTGCTTTACATTGACAACAGAAATGTCTGCAAGGAGAAAAAAACTAGAGATGAGCAATGGCTGGAGCAGCCGGTGAGAGTTTTGTAACAATACAAGTCTAGTGGTCAGCATTGGATTATGCTCCTTACCCTTGACATATCCTCACCAAGATATTCATTCTCACCAAGATAACCAAGATGATGGCAGTGCTAAGAAGGGCTTTAGGCGGCAACTACTCTCATTCAAATACACACTAGTCTTCCTTGTACGACCCGTATCTCTTTCATCTATGCGTTGGAACAACTGTAGGTAAATGTATGAGGTGTACTGTGGATTCTCTGACGACTGCCGAGGAGATCGCAAGCCATCTGGTCTATGCCAGGTGAGGAATTGCAGATGTATGCTGACCCTTACTGTATATCTCTTGTTATAGAGAGCTTGACCTCACATCTGGCACCTCACAGGACAACTTTGCTGTGAGACGTTCTCTTTTTTATGGCCAACGTTGAAGTTGAAAACATGTTGATCTGCATACTGTATGATACAAGTGTAATACACCACTAGAGGAAATGCAAAACGTAACAAGATAACAAAACCAAAGGTTTCCTCTAGTGGTTTTATTGCACCTGTATCATGATTTTATGTGGCATTTTCAACACCTTTCTGTATACTCATAGATGCACAAAAACACGATGCTATTGTGTGCTTTATTTTTCTCTATTCTTCGGTGTTTGTGTTTGGCAACAACAAGGGGTGGCCCGAAGGATTCTCCAGGCTGGACTGTAGCACTCCAGAGAGCCAACGGGTATCACGAACTGTCTGGGTTTGAGCACGTCATGGACTTAGTGGCAGGACTTGAGCTGCCGGACGGCTTCCCGGATGGCAAACAGCCCGGCATTGGTCAGGGTGCTCTACATCGTAGCAGGTGAGTTTCCGGGGGTGTAATCTGTAGCCTGGCAACATGACCATTTTGCAGATGTTTAGTCTGCTCGATGCACAAGCAGAGTCTGCCGCTGATCAAAGAGTGCAGCGTGAAGTGGGAGAAGACCTGAAGATTACCCCGAATGTGAAACTCTGAGTTCTTACTCTAAGTATACCTGTCTCCCTTCTGTGTGGGGATGCTTATTGTGCATTGATGTGTGTCGGCGGCGTATGTCCATTTTTGTACAAATCCCTGCATTGCACCTGCGTGATGAACTCTTGCCTGGCCTTGGCTATCGTTTGTATGTTATATGGATGTGAGGGATTGGATGTGCATGAATGTGTACGATAATGAATGACGTTATTGATAATGAATAATGTAATGATTGCTTACTCCTTTCACGGTCTCAGAATCAAGTCAAAATGAGGCTATTTACAGAATTCAACAATTTCGTACCTTGATTCATCCATGACTTCAGTTTCCCTTCGCTGATTTTCATGATCTTGGGCTCTCTGGAAAGCTCTGGACACGAGCAACACGCCGAGCTACAATTCGACACCAAGCGTGCCGTGGATCCAGCGCTGTAGCGCAGCGACATCGCCCCAGTGCTTGATTCACGACGAGAAACGAGATTCAACAGCCATTTCCCTCTCCTTGCTCACATCGAGCTCACATTTTTGTGAGGAGTGCTGCGAGTCCAAACTCTCATTTGAATCCGTGTCTCTATGGCGACAGCTAGCTGCAAAGGGAAAAACCCGTCCTCAAGACCCAGCTCGCCCACTCAAATCGCAAATGAGCCGTGACGCAGATTGCGAGCTTCGTAGCATCGCAGCCGTTCACTCTATCGCTTCGGCGATTGTTCCTACGGGTAGCCTGGAGCTTTCTCTTCAACTATTAGATGTTCGAATTTGCTCAAAAATTGACTGAGTTATGATAGTTTGAAAAAATGTGAGACCGTAAAAGTTAAACTGATGGAGGAGCAGTATATGTCATTGGAGCAGGTCCCCCCCGTATATCCATCCTTGTCATTGGAGCAGGTCCCCCCCCCCCCCCGTCTATCCATCCTTTTAATAGTTGTCTTACACGTACATTCTCTCTCGATCGCTTTCCCGTTGTTGTTTGTCGATAGAAATCCTCTCAAAGAAGCACCGCAGTACCTGGACAAGATGTTTGGATCTGCCACAGATCGGGCTAATGGTGGCCGTTCCCCTGCGTTCGGCCGTGCGATCAGAGTGCTGCCTGTTCCTGGAGCTGACGATCGGAGCGATGGCACAGCTGGCGCAAAGGCGGAGAGTAGCCAGCTTGACTCATTGCTGAATGCGTGTGAGGACGCTCTTGTCAGTGACGTGTTGGGAACGGCGAAGCAAAAACACTTGAATATCTCCTTCTCGGACAAGCCAGCTCTAGTGTTGCCTTCGCTGAAGAAACACATTGGCGCTGATCAAGAATTTGACAAGCTTCTTTCGTACAATACACCATCGTTCAAGTTTGTTATCAGGAAAGAGGTGAGTACTGAAGATCTAGCAGATATACAGTTAAACCTGTCAGTGCAACCACGCTGTTAAGGCGATCACCTGTCCAAAAGGACCACTACAACCAGGACTGAGGGATGTTCTATCCAGTCAAATGACCCTGGATAAGAAAACCACCTGTGCACGGCGCCCACATTTGTATAAGAGCCCTTGAGCGGTGGCCTTAGACAGGTTTGGCTCCAGGTTTACATGTGCATTGCATTCTTGGATGAAGTTACATGTCATACGTTACTGCTGTCCTGCATTCCACTAACATGGATCCGGATTTCTGATGATTTTCAGATTTGTTTGCGTGGACGTTGACTCTTATCCTAACCTGCATTTGTTGATGTGATTTCCGTTCAATAGATGCTGCATCACACGGACAAGCTATCGGATCTGCTAGCCAATCAGCTCATCTATTTACAGGTACTTGAGCACCAGCAAACCAACGTCAAGTATTCCACAATGCCTGTCTGGCGGACAGTTGCACTGATATCACTTATTGCACTGTATTCTGGAAACATATCGTGGCTCGCGCAAATAAAAAAAAAAACGGTAGCATTATGTTAGGATTGATCTCCGAAAGACTCGCTTGACCACTTTCAGTCTGGTTACTAGCATTGTTGTGGCACACATACACATTCATTGCGACCCGATTGTTTGCAGTACATTGAGCAGGAACACATTGTTTTGTCCTGTATCCCGATGTGGGTAGATTGTGAAAGATGCACTGGGCAAATTCCAGCCAAGGTTGACACGGGAAGATCGGCAAGTACTGCTCAGATTACTAGGTGAGTATAGCAGGAGATCTTAGAGCACAGGTTCATTAAAACTCTTCGTTTTGTCCTGCATGGTAGTACAATGTATTACTAATATGAACTGCTTGACTAAATACAAGGTGCATGATGTGCATTTTCAATGCTGGGTCATGCCAACAAGACGGAGTCTGGAAAGCCGAATAGTGTTACATTTCACCCTTTTGTTTAGCAACATGTAGTTAACAGTTGCCTGTGTGACCAATCTACATGACTGTGTATTTAAGCAAGGGGAGTTTTCAGCTCACCCAGCAAACCAACGTCAAGTATTCCACAATGCCGACTATTTTCACACTGTATTGATACTACATGCATCTTACCAGATCAACACCAGGTCAACTCTAACAATTTTGTGAGCCAGCCGAGCTTCGTGAAGAAGGAGATTGTCCAGGCCGCTAGGGCCTTCCCCATATACTTTGCAAGAATTTATCCTGTAACGGTGAGTGAGTGTTACTAACATACTAGTACCAGCAGGCTTCTGTAAATTTGGACTGTGGCTGAGAGGGCAACTTCAGCCATGCAAAGTACGATGTTAGTGGTTGTCCTGCCCTGTCCTGCCCTTCCCTACCGTGTCCTGTCCTTTCCTGCCCTGTCCTGCCCTTCCCTGCCGTGTGCTGCCGTATCTACTCTGTCCTGCTCTGTTCTGCCTTGCCCTACCCTGCCCTGCCTTGCCCGGGTACCGTTTACAACTATGCTCCTAAATGCAATGCATTGTTTTCAATATTTGTGGCATTACAATGGTCGCATCCACTATGGAATGATAGCCCGCTGTTGAATGAATAGCCGAATATGGAGAAATGATCTGATAATGTTTTCCTGCCGTGTTCCCAGGGCGTATCTGAAGAGTCTCGCAACTGTACACATCTTGCTGTTGGACACAATGGTATATCCATGCTGCAATCATTAGCAAGCGGATACAAGATCATTGCTTCATTCTTGTGAGTAAAGACAAGCACCTCAAGACAATATTTTCCGTTTTCCTGGCTTCTAACGTTATGGTGAAAGCGCTGAGTACTGAGTCTTGACCAGTCTTTCATATGCATCTATCTTATGCATTCCCCTTAGACTAAATGGTTGGTGCAGGAGAACAAATACCATAGGATTTAAGTGAATTTTGCCTTTTCTCTCTTTGCATAGTGCATGCACTGAGTTCTGTAAGGAAAGAAAACCAGGGGCATGTGATTCTGTCATTGCATGCTTGAGCATATCAGACCCGCATCATTTTCTATCCTGGAATAATGTTCTTGATGCTAGGCTTACCAATGTTGAAGACTTCTCAGCCACCGAACAAGGAGTTCTAAAACTGACGCTTCGCAACACCGCCATGGAGTTCACAACTAAGAGGGTAAGGCCAGCAAAAGGAGTGTGCACTCTGCTGTAATTATTCCACAAGCACCATGACATTAAACATGTGATACGGGCAATTTTAACCAGCCATTGTGGTGAAAATTGAGAATAAGAGTAAAATTCTCCGGCCATCGGAAATTTCAATTTTCCTTGCAGTAGAATATTATCATCACAATCTACATGTACGCGCAAAGAGTATGGTGCTGTGCTACCTGTATGGCGCTGTGCTACCTGTATGGTGCTGTGCTACCTGTATGGTGCTGTGCTACCTGTATGGTGCTGTGCTACCTGTATGGCGCTGTGCTACCTGTATGGTGCTGTGCTACCTGTATGGTGCTGTGCTACCTGTATGGCGCTGTGCTACCTGTATGGTGCTGTGCTACCTGTATGGCGCTGTGCTACCTGTATGGTGCTGTGCTACCTGTATGGCGCTGTGCTACCTGTATGGTGCTGTGCTACCTGTATGGTGCTGTGCTACCTGTATGGTGCTGTGCTACCTGTATGGTGCTGTGCTACCTGTATGGTGCTGTGCTACCTGTATGGTGCTGTGCTACCTGTATGGTGCTGTGCTACCTGTATGGCGCTGTGCTACCTGTATGGTGCTGTGCTACCTGTATGGTGCTGTGCTACCTGTATGGTGCTGTGCTACCTGTATGGTGCTGTGCTACCTGTATGGTGCTGTGCTACCTGTATGGTGTTATGCTACCTGTATGGTGCTGTGCTACCTGTATGGTGCTGTGCTACCTGTATGGTGCTGTGCTACCTGTATGGTGCTGTGCTACCTGTATGGTGCTGTGCTACCTGTATGGTGCTGTGCTACCTGTATGGTGCTGTGCTACCTGTATGGTGCTGTGCTACCTGTATGGTGCTGTGCTACCTGTATGGTGCTGTGCTACCTGTATGGTGCTGTGCTACCTGTATGGTGCTGTGCTACCTGTATGGTGCTATGCTACCTGTAGTGGGCCTATTATTAATCTCTGTCCTCTGATAATGCTCTTCTTCTGCAGGCGAGTGTTATTGCAGATACTATTGAGAATTGGATGAGACACTTGGAACAGGTGAGATGATCCTATTGAATAATATTATGTGAAATAAAAATACTTAGTATTTTTCTTGTAAATGAATCAATACACATGGTTATAACATGGGTCCTGTCCCTGGAAATGAGGTCTGTAAGTAGATACCGTGAAGCAAGCCAAATGCTCATCAAATTGCAAGATGCCATGAGCATGTTGCTGCTGCAGCGCTCAGTGTGTACATTCAGTGTATCCATGAACTCCGTGTTTGCATCTGTGGCTTGAGGCAATCTTGTGGAGTGTGGAACATTTATTTTGTACACAATGGTGTAGTTTTTTGTTTAAGGTGACAAGCTTAAAACATGGTGCTGATTGCATTATTTCACTGTGTTACTGGGACGGTGTTGCCGCTATGTGCATAGGATGCTGGCTATGTCCTGGCAACTCAAGACTACATCACTGCTGAGGACTCGTTGCTCAGCTTCCACACAAATGACATCATCAAACTGGAGGAGAAGGAAGGCGGCAATGAAGACGGTACAATAGTTCTGTGCTGATACTTTGAACTTTTTTTAGAATTAAGTAGTGGTTGCGACTTCGGCGATGATTTGTAAGAAAGGTTTGCTCCCCACACCGGAGCTCGCGCTATTCCGCCGACTTTACTTGACACTTGACTGACTCACGACTGCCATCCAGAGCACACGAGAAGTCCATCGAACCTTCGACTCGGCAAACCTGCAAGAAAGCACCACTCCCTGCTCAATACACAGTGTTTCGGGGAATTCACCCCTCATCAGTTGAGCTTGAGTAGGCTGAGGAAGAGTGTGCCTGAAGAGCACCACTTATATAGTGCTCTCCAGGCGCAAACATCACCAGGGATACAAACTTACAGAGACGCTCCGCTTCCAGCGCGACAAACACCTCATGAACACCAGATAGCAGCGTGAGTCAGTGTCGCTCCTGGACGGTGAGACAGACGTCGAGGACCCTCGGTCTACTAGTCGCAATAATCAAGCAAGTAGGCATCTCCACTGCTTGAAGAGTGTTCTATGTCCCAGGGCAGAGGTTCTCACACAGCAAGGAGAGAAAGAGAGAGAGAGGAAATTCTGCTCTGAGTAACAGAATTCCCCTTTCCACACTGCGCAACCTACATGTACTAAACGTGCTTGTACCAGTCCTGTACAATGAAGTTGTCCCAATGCCGCTTTCCACCCCTTACACCTGTCATTTAGCAATTACAGTAGTAGGTCTGGTGCCAAGTAAGCACCACATCACCACCGCTGCGTTGCATTTGCAGCCCTATTCAGTCAATGTCTTGTTAGTCTGTTGTTTTGTCATTTCCTGCTTCTTTCTTGTTTTACGAATTGGGTTTCAAGTAAAAAGAAAATTAAAAAAAGAAATTTTGAATCAACATGAGATAAGTGTGTTTCCTTGTATTTCCGTGCATACAGGTTGGCTGTTTGGTGCAATGGGCATCAAGTATGGCAGTTTCCTTGCCGACCTCGTCACACCGATCATCGGTGAGCCGACGGAGCAAGCAGTGGAACAAGCCAAGCTGCTCATTAAGAAGAAGATGAAAAGAGATCAGGATGAGCGGCGTAAGCAACGCGCCGCAGAAAAGCAGCGGCAACGCAGCAACCTGGCCAGTGTGTCGTCCGATGTCAGTGTCACCTCACAGGAACTGGCCAGTGGGAAGTTCTCCATGTTGGAGTTCGCCATCCAGCACTTCCGATACGGGCAGGAAAGGTGAGGTTGGAGCACAACGAATGCTGAGAAGCTTTTACACTCTTTGGATGATATGAACCCTTTATGTACGGTGTGTACATGAATCGATCACAAAAATGTGATCGATTCATGATCGATCCGTAAAACCTTCGTAACTCCATCATTTCTTGTTCACATTCAACAGTCGAAGGGTCTATGTAGTAGTGGAAACTCCAAGCTTTCCAATGCAACAATCGCCGAAGAGCTACGATGTCCGAATCCACAGATATCGCGCGTCGTATTCTTATCTCGGAAAATTCAAATTTTTGATCGATCTCTTCGCCATTTTAGGGAAACATCCCTTTTCGTGTGCTATTTGACCAACTGAGCAAAGGATTATGACGTAGTCGGTGGAAGGTTGAATCGCCTCGAAAAGATTTGAGCATTCTGCGATACAGGAGATTGGAATGGCGTGGATGGGGGAATTTGCTCGCTTATCGGGCTTGGAGACGACGTTGCTGTGCTCCCGCGCCTGACATGTGGCAGCTAGTTAATGGGGTCTGGTATCCTGGCGTTGCTCTCGCCAGGGGTTTTCCAACGAGCCCAGGATTGTGGAAATGGAGTGAAGGAGGCCAAAGTTATAGTCTGTTGAAGGTGAAAATTGTGCTGAAAATTCAAATTTTGCTTCATTCTGTGCTGGAAATCAGTACATAAAGGGTTAATATGGCATGTACACTTGATCTCCCCAGCAGTACACATTAAGCCTGCTTCATATTGTATTCTTCTGTTTGAATTTGCAAGGACAAATAGGTTACAAGGCTGACAGCGAATTCGAGAAGAGGGCTTCATCAGGGAAAAAAGAAGAGGGGCCATCAGTCAAAAGCTTCTCTTATGTGATTCTATATCACAGCTCATAACGGCAAAATCTGTCTATTCTCTGCTACTGTTGTCAATGTGCAGAACTGAGGCAGAAAAGAAGCTCCAGGGATCCTTCCGTGGCACTGTGCGATCGCTGATGGGTCGAAGTAAGAGATCACATGATGTCTGACATGATTGGCCTTGCATGCAAATAAGTATATTTATCCAGATGCAAAGACTCCAGTCTATAGCAACCCAGAGTGGGATGAAGATTTATGGATGTATGCATGGAACTTAACGCATAAATGCATTGCTAGTGCCACTGTTCCCTTGCATGGCGGTGGCCTGGCACAAGCAAAACTTATCTAAGCTGGTTGTGTTTCTCAACACCATTCTGAAACCGGTGGCAAACTTTACTTTCTTCACTTGCTGTTCCCCTTTATCGGGAACATGCCGACGATTAATTTATAGTAAAGAAAAGGACAAAGGAACTACGAGTTACGCTTTAATGTCCACTAACACGGCCAGTTACTTGACAATCGGCTCATGCGATAACATTGCACAAAACTGACCTACAGTACTGACATTCTACAACTATTAAACTGGCTATCAGCTCTGGCACGTCTTAGGTGCACACTCCAACAGCCTTCCAACTTGGAAGATTCTAAGTTATATGATGACATAGGAGGGGAAGGTGAGCGCAACCAGGACAAGCACACGCTGAAAGTCTCAGCTGTGAAGGACGTTTGCGGATGTACATGCATGTCGATGACACGTCCAATTTGGAAGGCTGTTAGAGTGTGCACCTAAGACGTGCTACAGCTGATAGCCAGCTAGTTGCAGAACGTCAGTACTGTCGGTCAGTTTTGTGCAATGTTATCGCATGAGCTGATTGTCCATCCGAATATGCTGATTCTTGGACTGATTCATTGGAACATTGTTACTTTGTACATTGGGTTTTTCCTTTGGCCAAAGAAGTCACTGAGCCCCCGGCACTTGGTGTCTGTTGCCTGATTGACTGTGAAGAAAAAAAGACGAAGATAAAAGAACGGTGTACTGAAGTAAGATGGTGAAAAGGAGGCTGCACAAGAAAGGATACGGGAACCTTTGTTTGATACCTGTTATTCTTTGTGACCAGGTGACAGTAAACGCAGTAAGTCTTGGAGCTGGAGGGAGTACGCTGACTTAGTAAAGTTCACCAAGGTAAGCAGTTTTGAAGTTTGTTCTTGTCGTCCATGCTTCTTTCCTTGTGATCACACACTTAGTACCTGATAAAGTTGCAGCAAGAGCACAGGTTTGTTGGCCAGGGCTGGTGATGAGCTAGAGTGGGGGATGGGTAAGCGTCAATCTGTCATCTATCAGGCAGTGTGGAACTGAGATTGCAGGGAGTAAGGATTAACGTGAACATGCACGAATATTCTAGTATGTGTTGTCTGATAATTGGTTCAGCCATGAAAATCTGAGTCACAACGGAATTTGCCAAGGTTTTCATTGTGTGCCTTTGTGTAGTGTCTTTAAATAGACACTTTAGCTTGTGCTGAGAGGATGGCATTTGCTGTGTCCTGTAGTCCCCAATACAGGCTTCCCTGCTGAAGATTGACTTCAAGCACGCACAAGCAAACAAGCTAGCCGTCGAGTGCTTCCTCGGTAAGCTGCATGTACATAGATCAAGATACAGTGGAACCTGTCTAAGACGACCGCTAATGGGACCTTCAAAGTGTGGTCTCTGTTACCAAGGCACAACACAAGTGATGTGTTCTGACTTGTACGGGTGTCACACAATAACAATCACGTCTTCCGCAAACTCTGCTGCATTTACCGTTTGAGGCCGGATTCACATTAGTTGATGCAATTTTTGTGCATTTATCATGGTAACATCCATTGCAAGGCAACACTCATTCCATTCCTATTTTCCACAGTATTTTCTCCGCATAGTCATAAAAAAGTCATACTTCTGAAGCATGGACTCGGGTGAAGAGCCAAGGATTATTTATAATCGCATGAGCTGATTTTTTAGTAACTCAATTAAACTGGTGGTGTTAGTGGACTTTATAGTGTAACTTGTAGTTCCTTGGCCCTTTTTACTTTATAAACTTCTGAAGTAGTTGCTTGTTTGTGGGGTAAGCATACATCAATGGCGGTAGCAAACCAGACTGTCGTCTCCGGTATCATGTTTTTGCAGCAATCATGCGCTTCATGGGCGACTACTTGATGAAGGGCAGTCAGGACACTGATCTTGTATACTTCCTGTTGAAGGTAAACTCATGATGTGTAACACACTGGACGGCACACCATGCTCCGATTTAGAAGCAGAACATTATTGTGTTCCCGGTGTTCATGACTGCACAAATGTATTCGCGTTTTATAGCTGATCTGTACAACTATTCTTCTTCTGTCTAGGTACTGCTTCCACTCACCGTACGTTGAATGTATGTAAACTACAAGTGCAGTAAAACCTGTAACTAAAGACCACTGTGACTAGCGACCAGCCTGGTACTACCGACCACTTGGCCAGGCACGGACGGTCTCACATTCAAAATGCACTGTGACTAGCGACTACCTGCTTAAAGGGGAAGTTAAGGCAAAAATTAAAATTTTACCAGTTGTAGTCTTCGGGGTGCTGAGTCGAATGGTCTTGGTCCGAGAAAGCTGAGACGCTCCCTTCCTACTTGAATCCCAATCGAACTCGCGCACTTCCACCGAAACTGGGTGACTGCGCCCTACTAGATGGGGATTTGTATGCAAAATGTCACTAAAAGCGCCATTTCGTTCTTATAAAAGCATGGATGACCGCGACTGGCCCATATGTTGTAGTCTTTTGGACGCTGAGTCGATTGGTTTTGGTCCGAAAAGCCTGCGATGCAGCGTTCCTCCTTTATTCCCAATCGAACATGGTTGAACAAGCGGTCACGTGCTCCTGGGTGCCCAAATCCCCTGGTCACCACGCCAGCAGGCGACAACTTTCACACCAAGGTTCAACTTGAGTGACAGGACTGCACCCAAAAAAGGTCAAACAGGCTAGTAAGTTGTACCCTGCAGGCACGGTGACCAGGTGACTGGCGTACGCAGGAGCACGTGACTTCTTGTTCAACCATGTTCGATTGGGAATAAAGTAGGAACGCTGCATCGCAGCCTTTTCGGACCAAAACCAGTCGACTCAGCGTCCAAAAGACTACAACATATGGGCCAATCGCGGTCATCCATGCTTTTATAAGAACGAAATGGCGCTTTTAGTGACATTTTGCATACAAATCCCCATCTAGTAGGGCGCAGTCACCCAGTTTCGGTGGAAGTGCGCGAGTTCGATTGGGATTCAAGTAGGAAGGGTGCGTCTCAGCTTCCTCGGACCGAGACCATTCGACTCAGCACCCCGAAGACTACAACTGGTGAAATTTTAATTTTTGCCTTAACTTCCCCTTTAACGCGACCAGCGACCGCCTTTTCTTGTCCCAAAGACGATTTTTGACCCGTAACTAGCGACCGCGACGTAGAAAATCAAATGTTGCTCGAAGCTCCTTCTTGAAATTTTGCTGATTTTCCATGGTCCTGAAAGGAATCTTTCGGTACTACAGCTGAACGAATGAACGCAGGCCATTTTGAGTGTGGAGTCGGTGTGGACTGCACTACACCTGTCAGAATTTCAAGCGCTGTCAATAATAAACACGATAGGAAACGTCTTGGAGAGCGCATCGAAAGCGCTCTCTGCTCGATGCTACTACTCGGAGGAGAAACGAAGACTGAGCGGCTCTGTCACCCCAATCATACAAATGAATCGACGATGGCGTCAAGGTATCCAGAAACAAAGCAGCACCGCAAGGTCCTGATGCTGAAGGATCGCGTTCAAACAATCGAGAAGTCACAACAAGGATAGTCGGTACGATTGATCGCATGAACAAATTTGAAGCCCAGTGCAAAACGAAACTTCCACAGGGAACGTTTGACTCCTGGCTTCAGAAGTAGCAGCTGAATTTGATGTCTGCAGAAAAATTAATCTTCTCTCTCTTTTTGTCTCTCTCCATCTCTCCGTCTTTCTCTCCAAGTGTTGTTTGACCTGAAATAAGAATGGCATTGCACAAGTCCTGGGGAATTGTATTAGCTGCATTTTGATATACATAATCATATAATGGATCCAGATATGGTCGCACGGTGCAAACCTCTAACTAAAGACCACCTGCTACTAAAGACCGCTTTTGCTTGCACCAAGGGGTGGTCGTTAGTCACAGGTTTTACTGTAGAACAATCCTGCATGTCCTACCATGCACTCCTAAGGAGTGGTATAATGTAGTAAAGGCAAATCTTGTGTGTCAGCCATGTTTTGTATATACTCCAGGATGAAGTTGGCATGTGAAGCTCCTCATGATGACTGTCAGATTTTGTTGTATTTCTTATTTGCCTCATTGTGCAGACATGTCATGATCATGAAGACCTGCGTGATGAGGTCTACTGCCAGCTAATCAAACAGACAACAACCAACAAAAGCACAAGGCCGTACGTAGTGCTGGCTTGTAGTCCTCTCCATTCTGCCTCTGTCTCGGTGTATCCGTTTTCTGTCTCAGTTTCTGTTTCTGTCACTGGTTCTTCCTGTCTCTCAGTCTGTCTCTGTTTCACAGCCTCTCGGTCTCTCCCTTCATCTCTCCCTCTCTCCCTCCTTTCCTCTCTCCCTCCCTCTTCACTGCCTTCCTCCATCTCCTCTCTCTCTCAGTCACTCCTTCACTGCACCATGCGCTGTGGGATAGCTCAATACACTTGTGCATCACCAGCCTGGTGAGGGCAATGGGTCAGATGAGATTCTGATACTGCTAGATCCTGCAGATAGTTGTTTTGCTCCAACAGATGCTATCAATGGAAGTAGTAGATCATGAATTATTGAGGTGAATGAATGACGTAATTCTCCGGTATTGTCTTGTTTATGCAGAGAAAGCTGTGCGAGAGGCTGGAGACTGCTGATGATCTGTACAGCATACTTCACCTGCTCTGAACGCCTGAGGCCCTACTTATTCACCTACCTGCAAGCTACAGCACAGAACACTAAGCGGGAGTTCCATGGTACGGTTCTACTAAAGCTCTCATCTTCAACTCCCTGTGATTTCCCTCTGAAATGGTATAATAATTCCCTTAAAGTCTGTCAGTGCAGTAATACAGAGACGGCAAGGAGACAACAATCTTATAATCGCAATGCTTAGGACAAGCTGAATCGAAATGGAAACATTATTCGTGCAATATCAATAGGTGGAAACGAAGTGCAATAACAACGATGAAAGCAAGAAGGAAGTGCAGTAATAGTGCTGCATATTTCTGCACACTTATGAAGCAAACTACTCGCGTGTGTGTACATGTGTCTGTGCATTCTGCAGCAATCGCCGGCATCTGTGAGGCGAATCTCAGGTTGACATTCCGCCTGGGCGGTCGCAAGGACCCGCCTAGCAAGTTGGAACTGAAGGCTCTTGCCGTAAGCGCATCACCCAACATACACCGAGCAATCTTGTCATACATCATGTCCACAGAACCCAGAGTTATTCATACATGTACACTGCTATAGCACACACGGCTTTCATTGACATACAGCACCATTTAGATGAAGGAAAGAATACGATATTGCATGCCTTAGCAAAAAATGGTGCAAGGCCTACTTTGGCTGCAGGATATCAACATTCGTTTTTGAAGTACACTGCAATGAGAATGTCCTTCATGTGATTTTAAGTCAGAAAGATGTTTTTGAAAACTTGGTACCCTCTTGCTGGTACCACTCAAGTCTTTGCTCTGCTCTGGCAAGTATCAATGACTCGTCTTCAGTTTGTCAATGACTCTTGTTTAGTATATCAATGACTCATCTTCAGTATATCAATGACTCATCTTCAGTATATCCATGTGACATCTCGTTGTGCACAGGGTGGGCGACACACAAAGCGGCAACTGTTCTTCCTCCCTGGTGAAGTGGGCAAGATGGTCAAGGTCAAGACATGCACGGTATGAAACACTCCCCCCCCCACTGCTCCCTACACATAGCACTTCAGCCAGCAGGCATCCTACATCTCCAGCTGTACACTGTATCCAATGCCAGTAGTTTGACACAACATGACACAGTCTGATAGTGTGAGCACAATGATACCTCTAGCAAAGTCAGGCGGACTAGAAGAATTTGATCTGAAGTTGTGTCTGCCTGCACTGCACCTACTTATTTATGAATAGAGTAAAACCTGTCAAGGTGACCACTCGATAAGGCGACCACCTGTCCTAGAAGACCACTGCAAGCAGGACCAAGGGATGCTATTTGCAGTCAAATGACCCTGGATAAGGAGACCGCCTGTACACGGAGACCACATTTCGAAGGTCCCTTGAGCGGTCGTCTTAGAGCGGTTTTACTGTAGTTTGTGATCGTTATGCCTGTTATGTTCTGGCTTTTATTGCATGCTAGTCTGCAGATCTGTGTACTCGTTATGCCTGTTATGCTCTGGCTTTTATTGCATGCTAGTCTGCAGATCTGTGTACTCGTTATGCCTGTTATGTTCTGGCTTTTATTGCATGCTAGTCCGCAGATCTGTGTACTCGTTATGCCTGTTATGCTCTGGCTTTTATTGCATGCTAGTCTGCAGATCTGTGTACTCGTTATGCCTGTTATGCTCTGGCTTTTACTGCATGCTAGTCCGCAGATCTGTGTACTCGTTATGCCTGTTATGCTCTGGCTTTTATTGCATGCTAGTCTGCAGATCTGTGTACTCGTTATGCCTGTTATGCTCTGGCTTTTACTGCATGCTAGTCCGCAGATCTGTGTACTCGTTATGCCTGTTATGCTCTGGCTTTTATTGCATGCTAGTCCGCAGATCTGTGTACTCGTTATGCCTGTTATGTTCTGGCTTTTATTGCATGCTAGTCCGCAGATCTGTGTACTCGTTATGCCTGTTATGCTCTGGCTTTTATTGCATGCTAGTCCGCAGATCTGTGTACTCGTTATGCCTGTTATGCTCTGGCTTTTATTGCATGCTAGTCCGCAGATCTGTATACTCGTTATGCCTGTTATGCTCTGGCTTTTATTGCATGCTAGTCCGCAGATCTGTGTACTGATAATACAGTCTCTCAATGCACCTATTCACATAGTGCGTATAGCGTATAACTTACTTTTGTGGATTCCGTTCAGATGAACTCTTCAACATAGTTTGGAACACAATGCAAAACTGCATTATGGGGCGCATGTTCCATGAGTGTTGCGTGCACTAACCCGCAGAGATGGGCTGTGTCGCGCTCTCTTGTCCGTACAGATTGCGCAAGACGTCATAAAGGATCTCTGCGGTCAGATTGGTCTTGCGTCTGACATCGACTTGGACGAGTTTGCGTTGTTTGCTGATCTTGGGAAACGTAAGGATGCTTTGTATTGACATCTTCAATAATCTAAGAGCTGTTTTGTTGCATCTGATATCTTTTGGGTAGGACAATGTCTCCTCACAAACAGTTTTGTTTTCATTTATGGATCCAAGTACTCAATATGATATATTCTGCAAGCTACATAATTGTACTTGTGCCACACTGTAACAAAAGTATGCATTTAATCATTTTAATGTGCAAAGATTGCATGGTGCAGAAGAGGACCGTCAAAACTACAGACAATATGAAGCAAAGGATCGTGTAATTTTGAGGGTGCAAAAAATTCAAAAATACATGGTCTGTCAAAATCCATGTATAAGGATACTTGTCATTTCTCATATGTTTCAGAATCACTGCCGTTGCCCATTCAGCCCAATGAATATATCCTAGACATCACGACTATGCTAGAACGACAGAAGCTAGACTACTGGCTGGGCTTCAAGAAGATTGCCTGGTTCCAGCCGCTGCGTCTGGAGAGCACCCTGTTCGTCAACATGCTGTATCACCAGCTGCAGCCAGACATAGCACGCGCCAATCTGATCGCGTTACCGGAGGGTAACATGGAGTTGAGAGTGCATCAGATGCTAGTGTTGCTGGCTGCTCTGCAGCATCGCATCACCGACCACGACATTGCACCTTTCAAGTAAGTGAACTGTGTGTATCCTGCTGCTAGTGCAGAGTCTGAGTTAGGGGGGGGGGGGGGCATTCCTTTACGCCTGCAATGGCATGCATACAGGCACCCCTTGTATAGGTGGTTTGTCCTTTAGGGTCTCATGATATAACTCGCCCGTACTTATCAAGACAGTGTATACTACAGTTGCCAACCTGAACCCCCAGATCAGAATGTCCAAGAAACACATTATTTCAAAGTTCCATGTTTTCCCCTAAACATATCATTGCAGTGATGATGGTAAGACCAACTCAGACTATAAGCAAACTAACCCAGGTACACACACGCAACATGACCGTGGAACCACCCTTCACGTCATGCTTCTATTTCCATATGTCTGCCTTGTACAGAGCTCAAGTTGCCAAGCTTCTGCCTCCGAGTGTTGTGCACATGTCCTCACCAGAAGAGTGGGTTGCAGCTGTCGTTCAAGACTGGGATAAATCAGCGAAGCGCTTGTCACCAGATGCTGCCCGGAGACGCTACCTGAGTGAGTAGTAGCCGCTGCAAGCAGGGCAGTGCCTGCTGCCATTGAATTTCCTCTGCACATGTAGTCAAACTTACTGTTCCTGACAGTTTTGTGTGGGAAATGTGAGAAGATTTAGCCGCTGCATTGCTTCTGACTGAGTGTTCTGCACCATATTAGTCATTTCCCATCTTGTTATACTAGTACATGACTTATGCATGTTCTCTGCATGCTCCTCTCTGTCAGTGGGATAAGAGATACGAGAGATCTGTATATCCTGGTCTGTGGTCTCTACAGATGCGTACCCTGTGCACTTTGTTTTAGCTCAGCCCTGATCTGAGTGCTGTCTCAGCCACTTCTTTATACTGACTTTAGCCTGTGTTTTTGTAATTTCGTAGTTCATTGAGTATCCATATGAGCCAGGATAGGGCCTTATTTGAATTCCTGCAATACTTGTTTGCACTTTCGCATTAAATTTCTGGTGGTTGAACACAAGCTTTTTCCGCTTTGTTTCCTTTGCAGATGAGGCAATGAAGTTCTCATTGTACGGTTCCTGCTTCTTTCCCATCAAACACTGTTCGGATGTAAACATTCGCGGTGAATGCCTGATGGCCATCAGCAAGACAGGAGTTCACTTCCTCAGCCACAAAACAAGGGTAAGATGTTATCCAGCCACTGCTGCTGCTACTGCTGCTGCTACTGATGCTGATGCTGCTGCTGCTGCTGCTGCTACTGATGCTGCCACAGCTGCCCCCACTGTTGCTGCTGCTGCTGCTGGTGTAATAGGTGTATTTATACAAAGACGTCCATACTCACTATTCAGATTTCCCGCTCGTTCCCCTTGGCAATGAGAGCCCACGATGAAACCCACGTATAGAACTGAATGCTGCTGCTGCTGGCACTGAATGCTGCTGCTGCTGATGGCAATGGCTGAAATAGTGTTCTGCTAGATCATAAGCATTGAGTTGTGCCCATGTGTTGTTTGTGATAGTTGGTTTGAAGTTGTTGAGAAGGTGATACTTGGAATTTGTGTTGAGTGCAATGGCTACTGAGGGCAGCAAATCGACCGAAGAGCCTTGCAAGAGAGAAGTTGAGGAAAATTAATAGCGAGTCCTAGCGTCACTTACTCCTTGCGTTGACTGGTGTTATCTGTATGTTGTTTTCTGTTTTAGGAGGCGTTCTTGACCTACGCATTCAGTGATATTGTTGCTGTGCGAAAGCTGCGTTCCAATACCGGACAGCAGTTTGTAGATCTGAAGTGCGGGAACCTGATGCTGGTCAAAGTAACACGCTGCGAGACTGCCTATGTAAGTCCACAACATTGCCCCGCATTGCACTAAGTTTTGCATGGGCCAGGGCCAGATGAGGTAAGAGTTCAGGAGCGTAGCTCCTACACAACAAATCGTGCAAGCTAGTCCGGTTGGTGGGTACACGTATGCCAGATAGTGTTGGGTCTGTTGCCAACAGGCTCGGCTGCTTGAAAGTGTATTATTGTATCTGCCACCTTTGTTGGTTGCAGGATTCATATACTTTCTATTTGAAGTATACATACCTGTTGATCATGGACTGCTTCTGGCTAGATTAACTCTTGTGTAATCACTGGTGCTAGTGAAGCTTATATCAGATCCACTCTGATTTAGCCACCCACACTAGTACAAAGTATTATCTTCACTGGGGGGCAGGGGAAACTGCAGTTGGATCCCAGGACGGATACCCTGATGCCGTCAATCCTTTTTCTGCACCTTGTCCTCGCCCACTTACTGAGGTGTGGTGAGCCCGTAAGTGGGATCATTTTCAAGTCCACCCATAGTTTGGGGGTGTTGGCCGTTGGGCGGATCAATAGCCAGTTCAGTCCTCTTTCCGACATTCCTTTCGAGTTCCTCTCTCCCCTCTCCAGGGGAGACTCACGTGACCAATTTTGGCAGTGAGCAAGTACAGTGCAAGTACAGGTCCTACATCTGTGGTATGGTGACCGTGTATCACCTGCAGCCTCATAGTCACCAAGTTCAGCTATTTTCATCATGACTGTAGTGTCTATGACGGCCATTTGTAATGTTATGTGTCATGACCAGACTACGCTGAGTATCCACGACCTATAAGCCTGCAGTTAGACGCAGTAATATCCTGGAAGGTCCTATGCTCCAGTTGCCCAAATGCGTCATAAGGTCAACTCTACTGGATGTAATTCGTGGTTTGTGTTTCATAAATATTTCCCCAAAGTTACCGGGTTTTCTTCAGCCATATGATCTGGCAATGTCCATCATAGTAACAAGGTCTATGATTGTTGATACAAGTAGTGATATCGGTCACGACTTTAATGGAGGCCTTTCCGTATAGGAAACCACCTACTATGAATGCGCAACGAACTGGACTACTACTACAGTAAAACCTGGTGTAAGCGACCTCTCGTTTTACCGACCACCTGCTTTTAAAGACCAGTTTTCCATGCACGGACAGTTCTACACAGACACTGTGGGACCTGGTTCTAAAGACCACCTGGCTTTAACGACCGCTTTTCCTTGCATCGTGGGGTGGTCGCTTAACCCTTTCACTACCCATACTTTTCGCAGTTGAGTCAATTCACAGTCTACAAAAATACGACCTTTGTTATATCTCTGCTCTCCTTTGGCCATTTCTCACAAGCAACCACTCTCTGGAAAGCTAATGATGGCAGCTACACACTTGTACAAACTACTTGTACAACACCAAGCGCCATTCGTGTGTGCCGCGCCGTGATCAAGAAGACGTTTTCAAACTCAAACAAATATGCGCAGCGCGATCTGTCACGAGTGGCTCACTGATTTGTAAAATCGTGGCTCATAGAAACCAGACAAAGTTCTTGTGAAAATACCTAAAACCCAAAGGATTTCCAGCCCCAAAATGCATAGGTAAGCGAGAAGATATCAAAGTTATTCTCAGCGTGACGGCGACTCAAAATGTTTGAATGTGCATTTTTGATCGCGCACTACAATTTATAGCTTCGAGCTTCGTCGCGCGCCAATTATGCCCCAAGGAATGAAAGCGATAGTTGCAGTCGACAGTCAAGGTCTTTCTGAAGACGTAGAGCCCTCATTTGTAATAATCTGACAATATTTGAGCGTGTGACGAAATATTTAGTGATCGCCTATTGCATCGATCCACGTGGATCGATATTTGAATGGCTGGTAGTGAGAGGGTTAAACCAGGTTTTACTGTATCTGTGATTGCTGTTGCCTTTGTTTATGCAGGGTCGTGAAATTGGAACCCTGATAGCACTCTACAAGGAGAAGCTCCTTGAGGAGAAGAGACGCAGCGAGGCTCATGAAGGTGTGTTTCGAGCCGATGCTGCACTGGCTGCAGGCACCTACTAACAACCGACACTGGGCCAAAGTGGCTCAAGACAAGTAGACATGCTTACTCATCCCACTGGCATCTACACCGCTACAAGTTGCACCTAGTACATTGACTGCTTGTAGGCGCCAAGTTAGGGCTACGAAACTAATTTTAACAATATGGATCCGAGCTATCACCACCTCAGACAACATTTGGATGCACATTCGTGCATGTAGGCACGAATAATAATATCTTTTGTTGAATAATATTTTGAAAGCAGTGTGCAATGCCACACAATGCAGACACACGTTAGAAAGCACAATATTAATTTTTGAAAGCATCTTGTGAAACAAAGCGTTTGGCAAGATTGCTATGCATGTGACCTTGACTGGCTGTGTACGCATGAGATTCCCAATATAACAGGCTGTCATAAACATTATACATCTTTACAAGCTAGGTGAAGTATGTACTAGTATGTTCACATGACATTCTCAACATACATGTAACAGGGCTGGTATAGCTGCTTCACATCGTCACAACATACGTGAAGTATATTATGTTAGTTTGCACTATAAACTGTGTTCCAATTATTTCTTTAAAAGTTTGGCTGTGATAGTTGAGGCAGATGTTGACAAGGGCCAGGTGTGATCTGCTAAGTACGTGACATTATGTAAGTTGATTTGCATGTTTGTGAGATCGTGTTGGGCCGGATTTAGTCAGCGGCCTGCAGAGTGCTGAATGTACTGCATGCACTGGCTGGACCAGCTTGTTACCCGAATAATGAGCAGTTCGAAAGGTGACAAAATGTACGTGTGAAGCAAAGTGTTCGTAGTACTGCATACCTCTAAATTTCAAATTTGTGCTGGTGTCGTGGAATGCACTGGGAAATATCTCATTGGCCGAAGTTAAGGAAATCTGTGAACGTTGTGAATTGCGGTGTGCATTGCTTCGTATGATGGTGGCGCCGTTCATCAGTTGCGATCAATTTGTGACAGCAACTCTTGGACAACGCGCTGCATTGACGGTCTCTCCTGTAGATCTGTCTTGATACACTGCTCAGCGATGTGACGATACCCATAGGGTATGTTTGGTGGAAAGATGGGCTTGGTGCCACCTGCTATTTCATCCAGGATATCGTCAGAGTTGCTGAGGTGTGCATAAGGTATCTGTCGAGTTGAGAGTTCCCACATAACCACGCCAAAGCTGCAGCAAGAGAATACAACATGAGGAGATGATAGTGTTCAGAGGCCTATCTGCGCTGCAGCACCCAAATTCAGCGTTCCCTCTAGACATTCAGTACTTCAAAATAAGACAAGTCTGAGGCCGACTCACACCCCAATGTGGCAACTAATTTCTTCCCCATGTCTAACCCCAAGATGAAGTAAAATAATGTACTTGTCAGTAACTAGTAATACTCTTAACCGTCCACCTCTCCATACTGCGCTCTTGGCCCACATTCACAACATCTACCCAAGAACTTACTTCCTCGCTATGGAGTGGTGTTGTGAATGTGGGCCAAGAGCACAGTGTGGAGAGGTGGACGGTTAAGAGTATTTTCAAATGACCGAGTTTGTCGCTACTTCTAGGTTACTAGTACTACAGGCCGAATTATAAAAACCGAATCATGTCAGATAATAGTTCGACTGTCATTTCTGCAACTTCAACTCTTCAGTAAAAAAAATACTCAGATTAAGGTCCAACATTAGAGATACAGTTCTCTTTTCATTAAAATTTTCTAAAACAAGACCACCATCTACTCATTCAACGTCTGTTTGCAGTGTGGTTTATTACGCTCACCTGTAGACATCGTGTTTCTCCGTGTACAGATTCTTCTTGATGGATTCAGGTGATCGCCAGCGATCTGTACCAACTCCACACGTCATTCCAATGCGTGACGTCATACCCTCGGTTGCTCTTGTAGCTCTGTCGTCATCAGTGTGATCCACATCAGATGTGACACTGGTAGCACCCAATAATGGAGTTTTTAGTTGATCAGGATGTGTTGTATCTGATACCGTGCGTGTCGAGTGATCTCTCTCCTGCATGAATTCTGTTTCCCTAGCATTTGACCCAATACCGTCGGGATGAAGTATGGCTAGGAATCGTGCTGTCTCCATGTCGGCGATCTTCACCACCCATTTGTCACTGACTAGCATGTTGCCTGACTTGATGTCACGGTGGATCATGGGTGGATCTCTGTTGTGCAGATACCTCACACCTCTTGCAGCATCCAGGGAGAATCGCAGTCGATCTGGTTGGTCAATCTTGTTGGACGGATCATGGAGAACATCGCAGAGAGAACCTCGCATCAAGTATTCCATCACAAGAAATGGACACCTGGATTGCGAATCCTTTCCTGCCCCAAGGAATAGAACTATATTTGGGTGGCTTAATGTTCGTAGAACTTCCGCCTCTTGAATGAAGGAGTCGTATGGCGATGCAGTTGAAACAAACGGTGGAAGTCGCTTAACAGCAACTGCCATATCTCCCAACTCAGCAAGTAACATTTTACAAAACCTTCCCTCGGCAAGTTGTCTCTGAATCTTCAGATCAGACCAGGCAATACACGTGCCATGGTTGATTTGACTGAGCTTTCTGTTGGAGCGGTAGAGGTCACGATTGGTATTGACGAGTTCAATTTCCTTTGCATTCAGAGCCCTTCTCTTTCTCAGGAACTGAATAAGAGCTATGACGAGGGTGGTAAGGGTGGTGGCAAAAACGAGAGAAGCCATCAAGATCAGGTACACTGCTGGTGCATCGCAGTCATCGCTGGGTAAATATCCGAAACGACACACGCAGATGTGTTTGAAGTCTGCCTTGTTGACCAGGCATTCTCCATGTCCATTACAAGTGTTGTCTTTACATGGTCCCTCAGGAACACAGTGAGTTGCGGCCTCTCCGACGGTTGTTAAGGACTGGTTGCATTTGATACACTGCTGTTGAAGAGTTCCAGAATACTTTCCGATTGGGCAAGGTTGACATTGGGATTTCTCGTCCCGACCAAGGCCGACAGGGCACAGCTTGGAGGTACTGAGAAAGAGAACTTTGGATTTCCGACGCGATTTTACTGTAGCTCCACCAATTACCACATTGCCAAGTACAAAGTGATTCCAAATTCTGATTTTGAAGAACTGATTCGATGAAGCCACTACCTGAGAACTCTTGCTTTTGATGGTGATCAGAAGCGCCCAATTTGCAGTGCCATGCCTCGTCCCACCAGTTATCAGCCCTCCAATCAGTATTAAGTCATTGTTTACAAATGACAGGCTGTGGCTACAGCGGTTTGGTATCTCAGGAATTATCGGAATATCACGAACGGTTATTTCGACTGTTGAACGGATGTCCACAAGTATTAGTTTGGAATCGGATGGCATCCTGCCTCCAAACAGCAAGACACCATGATCAGTTGGTGTGACTGAATGATCATACTGGATAGGTAGATGTCCTTTCTGAACGTATCCTGTGAGATTATGCCATCGACCTTTGCACTGGTCTTCGTCTTCCATGATGAACATCCACAAATCTCCAAGGGTATGGTTATCGGCCCTTCCACCATGGATCACCATTGCAGACCTATTATATCTGAATGATACATGTTGTGTACGTGGAGAGGGTTCGATCCCAGATGTGATGTTCGCCTTTACCCAAAAGTGTTTGTTTATATTGAAGCACCATGGATTTTTGTCACAATTCGGTATTGGAGAACCGCCATACAAGACGGCTGTTTTATTGGTTACCAAGGTTACGGTGTGATAATGGCGAAGAGGGCAATCTGGCCCGGGTGACGGGTAGAGCAGTGTATAGTAGAATCCTGTGGAATACGGGTTCTTCCCTTGTGAAGAGCGTAATATCCACACAGGCATTGTGAACATAGGACTTCGAATAAAGTTTAACATACCGATACTCTCTGCAAGATATCTTCCGGTACCCCCAAAAACTAGAACTTCTTGTATTTCCTTGGTTCTCGTTGGAAGCAGGATGCTGGCTGCAAGTTGTCTGGTCAAACGTTCACCAGAGAATGATTTAACAATGCTCATAACCTGCGTTTTCTGGAGATGCATTGATGTAGTTTTTCCATCCCATCTGGAATATACAATTACCCTCATCACAGAATCTCCAGATGCTGGTACGAAGAAGAATGATTTCTTTCCAAAAATGATATCAAATATTCTGAAACTCAATGGAAAATCGCTATTTAGAATCACACGACTAGGGCAGTTGGCAGGGAAATCTTGAACATTGCACACAATAATTTCCGAGAGAACCGTGCCTCGCGATGGTCTCCTCGTTGGTTTAATAACCAAGGTTTTCTGCAAGGCTAGATACGATGCATCAAATGATGAATTGAGAAGATTCATGGGGCCTCTAAAGGTATTGTTCACCTCCATCCATGTCAGTGATAAGATGTCGAATTTCCAAATATCCAAAGTGACGGTATCCGAGAATCTGTCAAGCACTTTCCACCCACCTACAAACCACAGAATTGCACCATCATCAGCGAAAAGTCTGGCGAACTGGCGAGGTTGGGGAGTCACCATATCGCTTGGGTGAATAACCTGCCGATATCCGAAATCATGGTCTTGAACATGGATACGCAATAGAACATTGCTTGGGGCATAGCAGTATCTGCGTTCATCGCTCCACAAAATACAACCTCCAAATGAAAAGAGGAAGAACGACGAATTTGATGAATTTGCTGCGCAAGCACTCAAGCCTGCGGGAATGGCGACGAGAGACGACCCCGGTCCACCCACCTGAGGAATCTCACTTCTTCCTCGCGCTTTAATAACTCTGGTTTTCCTGTTGCCATAAAGCAACACCAAGTTGCTACATTCGCCAGGGCCAAACCCATGTAGGATGACTTGATGCTTGCACGGGGATACAGTCACACTTGGCGAAGTTTTGAAACAGCAGCATTCCTCACCCAGTGTCACGTTCAAGTCAATCTCACGCTCAAACAGCTGCCAGGTTTGACCTCCAGTGAAGCTTGTATCAAACACGGCAACGTTTAAATAGACTGTCTCATGTTCGACTACCCTATAGATGATCATAAGGTGCGGTGTGAACTTACTTCGATCATTTTCTCTGAACATAACGACCTCCCTGACGAGAACTTTGGACAAATACCGATACGTACCGGTAGTATGACTTTTGTGTAATTCTCGGAATATAACACGTGGGTGTTGAGGACGTCCAGTGACTTTTATCAATGGTCCGTTGCTATCTCCATTGACATACCTAGCACCATCCAGCAAATGAAGTAAACAGAACACCCACAAGGTGGATGTTACAATCAGCCAGCACAAAGCCATTGCCGTCGACACAGTCCCGCCTGCAACCAGTTTGGGTGATGGAAAGTAATTATTTGTTGAGAGACGTTACGCTTCAACTAGTCACGACAAAAACCACTTCTCTCAAGCACAACCTTTATAGGTACTGCAACAAAGCCTTTCGCGGCACTTTATGATCTTTCTTGGCTTTCTAACAATGGTAACACACGGTACTGTATACAGTTGTACTCAATCTCCCGATATCTAGCTATTTCAAACTTGTTAGCTATCATCAACTGAGCTCAGAGTTACAGGTCTAACTAATAATTATATACTGCGATGTACTTCGAAGTACGAGCAAGCTCTCGCAGAGATCTTACTACTGTATATCGGTGAACTGGAGAAGTGATAGCGTTGTTGTGTTAGTAGTATTATAACACTAGGACAGTTTGGATTCGTGTGTCAGGATTCAGGAGACATGTTTAGAAACATACAGTACTTCCTACATTTACGATTATTCTTCCATGATCCTTGCATGGCGCCACTAAACACTGGAGAGTAGCTAGACCAACACTAATTAATTATGTGCAGTCTTCATTGTTTCCAGAATACAATACTGGTGCCGCTTTGCTTCATTTGCAATACGTCTTTGTGCAGTTGTGTGGACTTATCTTCACTGCGATATCAGTGTCATGCTCCAATGCTTCCTTTGTAGCACTAAGGTGTGCTGCGATCAATCAATGGCATTTCCAGCTTGCTTGCTACACTATCACATACATGTACTCTCTTTATTAGTAGCTGTTTTGCTGCCTGCTGCTTGTTTCCCGCAATAGACACCAGCTGAAGCTTCCTAGCTGGTCTCCTTGCTAGAGCCCTTGTTAGATTCTGCATAAGTTCTCTAGTTTGTTTCGCATACGTTGTTGATTGAGTAGAGGCCTTGCTAGAGAACAGTTAGGTTTTGCTCAATATTCATCCCTAGTTTCTTTTGGAGTCCAAACAGCTCAGATCTCTGTGTGCAGACTGTGTGTGAAAACGGGGAACTAGTATTTTTGAAAGGGTCGGGCTTGCGCCTTCCGTACAAGACACGAGATGTTCACATCTGCTCACGGAAAACGTGTCATTGCATGTACATACTATTATTAGAAGACGTTGCATTCTAGATCAATACCAATCATACACACATGTCACACGCTTGGGGTTGCAATTGTTTTAACACACAGTAGCCAGACGTTCCGCTTCTGATCCTTGATCCGTAGAACTGGTGATGAGATGGCTGCCTCATGCAGGATGTACTTGATCATTATTATGTGCATGGAGTGTGTGAAAACAGTGACGGCTGGGTTCCACCAGCCCTTGTTAGTGTCGCAGGACGCTTGAGCGTTACCATCTTGCAGAAAGTGGTGAACAGTGGCTGCTGGGATGACGGCTATCCCATAGGCGAGTGATAGAGCATGTCTGGCGTCAAGAAAAGGTCCCTGGTGCCAGCCTTGGTGGTGCCATTCAATATCTTCTTCAGATTTTCCCTTTTCAACTCTCTCGATCAGACTAATGAATATAGGAAAACGTTGAAATAGGCTGTTTTATATACATGTACCTTTAAATGCACGGCGAAGAAGCATATACATATATCTGTACTTTGTGATCTTCTTCCTCACAGTGGCAACGCACATTATGTATCTAATACTAGCTGAGTAAGAGGTCAATATAGGAAATAAAAGCCGAGTAAAAAACCGAGGCGAAGCCGAGGTCTATTTATTTCTTATACTGACCAAGTGCGAAGTCAATATTAGATTTATCACGACAAACAGTCCGTATTTCAAATTCCAGAGCGATACCTGCATGCTGCTCGGATTGTGCCATTGTTACACAACCCGGAAAAGCACAGTGACCATGCGCTAGGCACCGTCGAACTGCGCAACCCATACCCAATTATAAGCAGTCAATATAGCCCTCAGGAGTGAAATATGCAGGACTATTTTACTCCTTAGGTATAGTGATAATCAATGGGAGTCATACATGTATACTAAGAGAGTGATAAACAGAGGTGCTGAATCTCCGGACCTCAAGCTCTTACCAACTTGTTGGGTTTCATTAACTAAACTCAGAGATACAGGTCGAACCAGTTATAAACTGCGCTGTACTTTGTCGCTGAACTGAAGGAGTGTTATCTTCGTTGTGTTTGAAGTATTTTTGCACTAGGACAGTTAGGATTCGCGTGTCAGGATTAAGGAGACACGAGATTTTCACATTTGCTCACGGAAAACGTGTCACTGCATGTGCACAATAATTATTTATTAGGAGAGGTTGCACTCTATGATATTATGAAAGCCAATCATGTACAAGTGTCACACTCTTGGTTTTTCTAAACACGCAATAGCCAAACGTTCTGATTCTGGGCCTCAATCCTTAATTTGTGCATAACTTGTGTGAGAACAGTGAGGGCTGGGTTCCACCTGCCTCCAGTAGTGCCACAGGAAGCTTGAGCATTAACATCTCGCATATAGTTGAACAGTGTCTGTTGAGATGACGCTTACAGCATAGGGGAGTGGTAGAGCATGTCTGGCGTCAAGCGAAGATCCCTGGTACCAGTCCGGGTGGTGCCATTTAATATCTTCTTCAGATTTTTCCCTTTTCAGCTTTCTCCTTCAAACTAATGAATATTTATAAGAGATCGCCCAGTCGTCTTGCTAGAAACGGTACATGATGATTGCTTTGCTCTAATCTCTAGTAGC